AACAGACGATGAGAAAAGAATTAAAATGCGTTCAAGTTAGTTTCAGCTTAAGCCTTTCTATGAAAATTAACATATTCAAATAATTAATCTTTCTCATTATGGGTTTGTTCTTAGACGTTTCCAACTTAATAACTAGCCGTTATTCAGCTTGTGATAAATAGTTTTGTGTGGTATTGAACTGAAGTTATTAGAAACCGCAAGCATCACAGATTCCATCAAAAGCACCAGAACTCCCAATAACTATGCATTCTAGTAGAAGCATAAATTAGATTAGTTAGATAAAGTATAAGAATCAACTGAAGCCATCACAAAACAAGATAATCCATACATTTAGTTTTAATTACTTAACCTTCGCCATCCAAACGATGTGAATAAGGAATTATCAACAACCACAAATATATGGATTCCTTCACAAATATTATTAACTAGGAAATTTCAGCTGAAACAGTTAGAAGCCGTAAAAATTATTAATTACACTGAAAGCATCTGAACCCAAAATTATCATATGCTCCAGGGAAGGCACTACAGTTTATAAGAACCAATGGAATTAGAACCCTCAAGAAGGGTAGCTAACAAAGGAAACATTATAAACCTTAAGTTATTTTAGTAGTAATATTAAAAGGATATTTACAACGTTAGCAGTCCGTCTGAATTTTTTACTGAAAACCTAAACTTTTTTCGATTCTAAAATCCCTAGGATCTCGCGATGAGAAGTTATCGATAGGAAAAGTTCTCGAATTTATCTGTCGTTAAGCTATGTGTTGTATTTGTTAGTAGAGGGTCGTACAATATTATAGGCAAAGCAGATAGATGTCTACGTTATATAGGATTTTCAAGCTTAAGACACATTAAGCAACACATGGTCTAAACGGTCAAGCTAGAGAATTCAAAATTCAGGTATAGCCATTTTGAACTGCTGACCAGATCGAGAAACGGCAATCAAATCTCATCGGCTACACCCAACTGAACTGTGGGATTGATTTTCACGGTTATAATACCTGAACAGCTGAATGTATGGATTGAATTTATCTGTATATGTGGCTCGAACTTTGGACGTATCGATCCACGGACAGACATGCTAACCACTAGGCCTTAAAGACATATTTATATATATATATATTAAATTATTAGCAAGTTGTGATCACAGCCCTTGACATTGACGTCATCAGAAATAATAAGTCTCTCTTATTTACTAAACAATCCATTCCTACCCTTATACGATAAATCAAACGACACTGGGTTTATTTTCCTTTTTTTTTTCTTTTAGCTTTATAAGTGTAAGCTAGTAATTAAGATCCTGCCTGCCAGTGGTGTTACTTGAATATATATGTTCTTAAAGATAAGATATATCGTGAATATAAACTCTTCCTTCAATACGAAAATTGTGACGAACCTGTCATTAAGTTAAAAGTATGTAAGAAATTCGAAAGAACCGATAGAGTTTAATATGCAGCGTTAATTATAACAGAAAAAAGAGAAGTGTATCGTTATCTTAGCAACGATAAATTTCGAAATTGACTAAGCTCAGTAATCCGTGAACTTGTGATAAGTGTGCATTTGAGACGTTTTATATAAAGCAACTTACACTATGATAAATCGCAAACAACTATTGCACCCCATCTTTACACAAAGAAATAACAAAAAAAATGCGAAATTTTGTCATCTTATATGTCTCTTCTGAAGTGATAACTCTCTAGCTTAAATTGATTTTTTTATAAAAGATGTCATGTCAGAAAAACATTCTGTATCTTTGACGTGGAATAGAAAAAAACTCACTTTGAAACAAAGGAAAAACTTTTACCTCTATTTTCAGATTGATGAGATCTAGGTTTGATATTCATATTTGTCTCTAGATCTAATGTAAAGTAGAATGTTTTATCACTATTAGGTTTGAACTTAAACATATGAACTATCAGTATGGAGAAGTGTACGTAAGGAAACCTACGATTATAACAGACGATTCACTTCTCTTAATGCTCTAGACTCTAGAGGAAGAGTGGGTCAACCAATCATACGACGTTTCACTTCTCTTAGTGTGTTAGTCTTGAAAGTCTGCTCAAATAATCGTAAGATTATAATAGGCTTTTCAATTCTCTTAGTGTGTTAGTCTACGAAGAGTTATTAAAAACCCCACGTCTATTATAATCGTATTTGATAACTCTTCGTAGACTAACACACTAAGAGAAGTTATGAACCCTACGATTATAATAGACGTTTAAGTTCTCTTAGTGTGTTAGTCTACGAAGAGTTATCAAAGAACCCTACGATTATAATAGACGTATAACTTCTCTTAGTGTGTTAGTCTACGAAGAGTTACCAAAGAACCCTACGATTATAATAGACGTATAACTTCTCTTAGTGTGTTAGTCTACGAAGAGTTATCAAAGAACCCTACGATTATGATAGACGTTTAAGTTCTCTTAGTCTACGAAGTGTGCTCAAAGAATCCTAAGATTATAACTGGCGTTTCATTTCTTTTAATCTACTAGTCTAGCAAATATGTTCAAATAATCCTAACATTATAACGGGTATTGTACTAGTCTTGAAAACAGGGGTACAAAAATACTATAATTATAATAGGTATTTTATTTGTCTTAACTTCTTTGTCTGGGAAGTGAGTCCACAAAAACTTTACAGTTCATCAGCACCTGTTTTAGATATTTCAAAATGCTTAAAATGTGTTCAGTAAGATCTGTGACAAAACTAAATAGTTCTTTTGTCTGAAAGTGTGTTCAAAGAATCCGTGGGCTACCACTAATGTTCCAATTATTTTGAACAGCTGGCTTATGACATCGATTTTTGGTGCCACGTTTGGTTAATGTTAGTTCTATTTTTGAGCAGTGGTCAGGCACAGAGAAAGAGAGGGACACAGCATAAAAGGGGACGGTTTCTTCATCAACATTGCTGTGATTATGGTAATATGCATCTCCAACTGGTTGCCTTTATTAAAACAGCTCGTACTCACACAAAACAAAAACAGTGCAGTTGAGAGAATGCTACCTTTTTTTCGTTCGAAGCCTTTTTTCTTGATTGATTTGGTTCGTTTCTTAACCACAGGAGGAATGAAGACTACCTTCGTAGATCAGGTAGCAGCACTGGTTCTATCTCTGATGATCAAGCAAAGTCCGCTAATCTGTGACCTCGTACACATATATACAGTCCCATAATATTATGTAATATGGCAGTCTACAACATAATATTATGTAATATGGCAGTCTACAACATAATATTATGTAATATGGCAGTCTACAACATAATATTATGTAATATGACAGTCTACAACATAATATTATGTAATTTGGCAGTCTATAACATAATATTATGTAATATGACAGTCTACAACATAATATTATGTAATATGGCAGTCTACAACATAATATTATGTAATATAGCAGTCTACAACATAATATTATGTAATATGGAAGTCTACAATTCATTATTCCAAATAGTACACGTACAACAACCCTCCTCCCCCCCTCGGTACATCTCAATAAAAAAAAGAAAAATGTATAGAGAGAAATATTAACCAATGCTGGTTTTGCTAATGATGCTTACACTTTCTGTAGAATAAAAAAAAAACACTCAATGCGATTGAGGTCTACGTGAATTTAGTTTCTGAGAAAAATTCAGTGAATTTGAATATTTCTGTAGCACATTAGTTTGGCTTCTAGCAAACGTACAGTGAACTCACTGGTTTCCAAGACACAGGAATTGGTTTGTGGAGAAGCCACATTAAATGCAAGGAAGTTCAAGACACAGGATTTTGTAACAGTGAAGTCAAGGATGTCCAAAACATAAAAGTTGTTTTTGGGGGCAGTCACGCTGAAGACAAGGAATTCCAAACCACAGGAGTTCGTTTCTGGAGATGTAACAGCAAAAACACGTACATCCAAAACACAGAAGTTGGTTTCTGGGTAAATCACAGAGAAAACAAGGATGTCCAAGATACATGGGTTGGTTTCTAGGGAAGTAACAGAGAAGGTCCAAGATACACGGGTTGGTTTCTAGGGAAGTAACAGTGAAGACAAGGAAGTCTAATATACAAGAATTGGTTTCCGAGAAGTCACAGTAAATTAAAGGGAGTCTAAGACACAGGGATTGGTTCCTGAGGGTGCTCAGTGAAGATAAAGATGTCCTAAACCACATGCTGTTGAATATTGCTTGTTTTTGTGCATTTCTACTTTCATTTTTCAATAACAAGAAACTACTTAAAAGTATTTCAATCGCAAACAATAAAGTTTAAACAAATACTTAAACAATTTGTTTGTTACCTATTTCAATGAATTGATCACAAAAAGAAATAACGCAAATGCGGTTTTCTGCCCAAGTTTCATATAAGCAGATTTAATCGCAAAATTAAGGTGCTTTTCTAACTCACCTCTTCTAAATAATGTTTTTAACGAAATACATGAAACTAGATTTTTTTATTGACTCCAATGCCCTAAAACATGAGAATAAATGCTTAAAAATAAAGTGATATCATGTTGTATTCACCACTTGTTCGAGCAAAAGTATCACTTTGTTTTAGCTTATGCGTTTAGAGTTTGTTGTATTTATGTTTATGTATTTTGTAGAGAGACTCATATATAAAGTTGTTTTTATGTAATTTATGTTCGTTTTAAACTCTTGTAAAGTTATGTACAGGTTTTATTGACAGCAGACTAAAATCTTTAATAATTCATGTTTTACAAAGCAACTATCGTAATTCATGTTTTACAAAGCAACTATCGTAATTCATGTTTTACATAGCAACTATCGTAATTCATGTTTTACAAAGCAACTATCGTAATTCATGTTTTACATAGCAACTATCGTAATTCATGTTTTACAAAGCAACTATCGTAATTCATGTTTTACATAGCAACTATCGTAATTCATGTTTTACAAAGCAACTATCGTTCTAAAACAAAATTATAAAAAAGAGTCTTCGAGACGGTCCCAAGAACCGTCCATAATGAGATGACCACCACTGTGTCCCTCTCTTTCTTGTCCAGATGGCCTCCTTGGCATCCTTGACCTTTAGAACAGGCGTCTTCACCTATCTTTTTGAAAACTGCGGCGATCAGTGTGTCTGGAAGGTGGGAATTAATTATTTTTCTTACATACAAAAGTGTAATTTTGTCTTTCAGTCAACAAGAGAGTGAAGTACTTAAAACAGTTTATTGTAAGTTATTAAAAAACTCAACTAAATTTAAGTTAACTATCCTATCTATAGTGTTCACAGAGATGCACTTAAATATATGAATAGAGTTAAGAGCGGAAAGTGTTCATAGTATTTAAACGAAAGGAGCGGAATGTGTTCATAGTATATATATAAGAAAGGAAATACTGACAGAAATAGGCCTAACAGTAGTAAAAATTATTTAAGTTATATCGATTATTTTATAGAATAACAATTTATTTTCAAATATCTAAGGTCTTTGAACTTCGAAAGTATGGGCTAAAAGATTCAACTTATCAATTGTTTTATTTAATACAACTACTGACGAAACATTACGTTCGAACTGGTGTAAATCTTTAGTTTAAGATATTAACTTTACAGCAGATACCACAATTTACGCTTTATGTTCCAACATCTTTACTCTGAAATATAACACTTTATTCTATTAGATGGCGCTCATGGTTTTCAGACTTAAATGAATGATAATATGAATATAAGCTTATTATTATTTTAAGCTCTATAAATTTTGTTATTTTGATTCACGGCCATATTTACAAATACGTATGCTGTCACAAAAGTATCAGCGGTGCCGCCGAGTGGCTCAGTTATAAGTTTGAGGACTTACAACGCTAGAATTTAGCGTACGACCCTCGCGGTGAATACAGCGAAGATAGCCGTTGTGGAGCTCTGCACTTAAACAATAACAAACAAAACCAGCGATGATAAAAAAACAAATGTCTATGTTTGATGTAGCAAATCCTCACCGAGAATTATATTATAGTCTGATTGTAATTTTTCAAGAATCCAAAAATGAAGATCTTAACATTTTCATAAGTCAGAATAATAGTTTACACAGATAACACCAGGGGAGCTCATGACTGGAACATCGCACAATAATAATCACAGTATTTTTTCAAATGCTCAATACATCAAATTAGAAATAACCAAATAAATATCGAAGTGGAGGAGTCGTGTTCCACTTATCTTAAATACCAGTAAAGTCGCTAATGTATCTTAACGTTATCGGTATGCAATAACTGGATATGGTTCTAGATTGACAGATTTAAGCAACGTCTGGTAGGTAGAAAATTATTTCTCTATATTTTAAACTGCGTGTAATCGATATGTATAAATCTCACTTGTTCGTTTGTTTGTTTGCCTTGTCTGGTGACACAAGTTGTTGAGTTGGTTATGAATTTCGCGCAAAGCTACACGAGGACTATCTGCGCTAACCGCCCGTAATTTAGCAGTGTAAGACTAGAGAGAAGGCAGCTAGTCATCACCACCCACCGCCAACTCTTGGGCTACTATTTTTCCCAACGAATAGTGGGATTGACCGTTACATTATAACGCCCCCACGGCTGAAAGGGCGAGCATGTTTGGTGTGACGGGGATTCGAGTCGAGCGCTCTGAACACTTGGCCATGCCGGGCCCACAAGTTGTTGAAAAGAACTGACTAGACTAATTTCAACGAAAACATAATTGAATGGATAACCAATCAGGCGAATTGAATTGCTGGAGTTAGATAGCCATTACAATTTTACCGCCTTAACGCCGCAAAGGAGGACTCATCTGAGCGAAAAGGTCTGTAGTAAAATACGTGAAGCACATGCCAAATGAAAAATAGCAATTAATACTTCGTATAGCGTTGGTACCTTTACAATGAACGAACAGTTTATGTGCTGCGGCTCAAAATAGTGGAATGGGACAGCCCACACCCCATTTATAGCGTTACCTTTATTATTAGTTATTACAAAATAATTCGGCTCTTTTCATATTTTGAAATCAAGTTACTTCGCTTTCAATATTTTAGTTTGTTTCGAATTTCGCGCAAAGCTACACGAGGGCAATCTACGCTAGGCGTCCCTAGAGAGAAGACAGCTAGTCATCACCACCCCCATCTTATATAGCGTATTGACACATTTCATTCCAGTAAAGCAAAGTTGTTGAAGTAGAGCTACGTACTGCATATTGTTCTTGAAAGTTGTTGCAACTGTATTAGTATGAAACATGACAGATCGTTCGAGTATATTCTACTCTAACTGTCGTACTTTGTTTTTAACCGCAAAGTTTCATAATGGACTATCTCCGTTGTGCCCGCTGAGAGTGTCGAACCTCAAATTTTAGCGTTATGAATCTTCAACGTTACCGCTGAGCCGGCGGTGGAGCTAAGTGTGGTAGAAACATACGACACACTGTTCGTACACAACCTTTTGTATCTGTTGTAGAATGGCATACTGTTCGTATATAATTCATTGTAGCTGTTGTAGAGTGACACACTGTTCGTATATAATTCATTGTAGCTATTGTAGAGGTACACACTGTTTGTATATAAACCATTGTAGCTATTGTAGAGTGACACACTGTTCGTATATAATTCATTGTAGCTGTTGTAGAGGTACACACACTATTCGTATATAATTCATTGTAGCTGTTGTAGATGTACACACACTATTCGTATATAATTCATTGTAGCTGTAATAGAGTGACACACTGTTCGTATATAATTCATTGTAGCTGTTGTAAAGTGACACAGTGTTCGTATATGCCAAATCAAAAATAGCAATTAATACTGCGTATAGCGTTGGTACCTTTACAATGAACGAACAGTTTATGTGCTGCGGCTCAAAATAGTGGAATGGGACAGCCCACACCCCATTTATAGCGTTACCTTTATTATGTAAGCATTTAGAGTGACAAACTGTTCGCATATAATTCATTGTAGCTATTGTAGAGTGACACACTGTTCGTATATAATTCATTGTAGCTGTTGTAGAGTGACACACTGTTCGTATATAATTCATTGTAGCTGTTGTAGAGTGACACACTGTTCGTATATAAACCATTGTAGCTATTTTAAATTGACAAACTGTTCGCATATAATTCATTGTAGCTGTTGTAGAGTGACAAACTGTTCGTATATAAACCCTTGTAGCTATTTTAGAGTGACAAACTGTTCGCATATAATAAATTGTAGATGTAATAGAGTGACACACTGTTCGTATATAACCCATTATGGCTATTGTACAGTGACACACTGTTCGTGTATAATTCATTGTAGCTATTGTAGAGTGACACACTGTTCGCATATAATTCATTGTAGCTGTTGTAGAGTGACACACTGTTCGTGTATAATTCATTGTAGCTGTTGTAGAGTGAAACACTGTTCGTATATTATCCACTGTAGCTTATAATCCAAACAAAGAAATAAAATTAAGAAGTTCAATTTATTATACTTTTAACTAATCCAGTATTTTAATCTAAATAAAAGCTTTTAGTACGAACTACAGGCATACCCCCTTTCCAGTATACAATTGTAATAAATTGGGGTTACGGTAGAACGTTATTATTACGTAATACATTGTGTTTATGGTAAAATGTAACGTTGTTCTTGTGTAATACATTGTGTTTATGGTAAAATGTAACGTTGTTTTTATGTAATACATTGTAATTATGGTAAAATGTAACGTTATTATTACGTAATACATTGTGTTTATGGTAAAATGTAACGTTGTTTTTATGTAATACATTGTAATTATGGTAAAATGTAACGTTGTTTTTATGTAATATATTGTGTTTATGGTAAAATGTAACGTTGTTTTTATGTAATATATTGTGGTTATGGTAAAATGTAACGTTGTTTTTATGTAATATATTGTGGTTATGGTAAAATGTAACGTTTTTATGTAATATATTGTGGTTATGGTAGTACATTGCAACTCAAATACAGTTGCATACAACATACGTATTGATTATTAGCTGTAACCCACAATTGTAGCGATACATACAAATAGAGCATTGTAGTTGAAATACGTAAACTTTGGTTTTATTGGCTTGATAATTTCAGTGAAACTAATTCTGATCCGAGCATAAATCACTGAACATAAAACTCTACTCAAACTCGAAAGAGAACTAGAGCTGATTGGCCACTTTGGTGGTTAACGTATTGGAAGGAGGACTTTGATAATCACAACTCTTTCTTCCAATAAAGAACTCTTGAGACTTCAGTTGATCCTTAATACATCGCTGACCGATTAGAGTCAACTGAATAACGAGATTTTCAATTGGTTGATTTGTTTCATTCAGTGGCCTTTTGGGGGCGCTTCAGAATTCGATAAATCTGACGTCATTGCTGCGATTATGGAACGCGATCGAATTTTAACGAACGAAAAAATTCCTTATTTGTAGATTTAGGTCAAATACTGCTGGTCAAAATATTTTTCCTTTTTTTTAACTTTAGCAATGTGATGTATTTTTAATTATCTAGCATGACGAAGCTACTTGTTAATTCATCAACAAATTAATATTATAGTTGTTTCATTGCAAATAGACCTCCAAGAGTAGTCTGTCGGAGCTTGTTGAAAGGTTAAGTCGAGCTAGGTGTATAGACCTTAATATATGTGATTTATTGCAGAAGCAAAGCATAACCACTTTTTAACAACCGTTAGCAAACATATTCTAACATATGAGAATTGATGTAACATAAAATAATCTTCACGACTTTTACAAACCAGGAAGATACGTAGAGTAGACAAGACACTTGCGTTGTTAGTCGTGTCTCTCCAAACGTAACTCAACGAGATTAGGCCTATACAGTTTCCAAGAATTATTTCTTGCAGCCTTGGTTTAATTAATCAATAATATCAAACAGGACTTGTCATTTTATTTGAGTCATGTGTGTGTGTGAAAAATATTGTAAAGTTCTAAATAACATGGACTGTACAGAAAACTAAACTAAACAAAATAGGTAATTGTATAACTAGATGTGTAACTCTTAACTGCAAGCCCTAAAAGATATCACTACTCTACACAGAAACATACGCTTCCATTAAAACAATAACATTTGGTTTGAAAGACTATGAATATTTCAATTATGTTGCTAACAAACTTTGATGTATAACTAGATGTGTAACTCTTTACTGCAAGCCCTAAAAGATACCACTACTCTACACAGAAACATACGCTTCCATTAAAACAATAACATTTGGTTTGAAAGACTATGAATATTTCAATTATGTTGCTAACAAACTTTGAAAATTCTATGACATCTGGACATTAGAAATCCATTTATTAACAAGTAACGAAGTAAAAAATAAGTATCGTTATATTTCAAGTTGTGTAATGTCAGTTACGATTTGTGTTTTTGCAGAACGCTCCTGAAAAAGTTATAAAGCAAAACGCTGAATGTTCAACTAAAGAAAATTAACAAATTTTGGTGTTTTAGGGTCGTTTATTGTTAGTATTAAAATGTCGTTTATACACCAAAGTGCAATACAGAAATAAAAAATGAATTATTATTATACTAAAATTTTCTCTGATTATTAATGCAAACATATATGTTGAACATCCATACAGACATACGAAGTAATACATTAGCGTATTTGGCGGCCATCTTGAATATTTTAATTTTCACTCCATCAAGTCCTTAAAATGCAGCTTGGAAATATCGATTTTTCGAATTGAACGCTCTCACATTGGAAATTTTTGAGAAATTCCAAGTATTAAATGGAAAAATTAACGAAGAACAATATTACCCATTCTTGTTTGTTGTTCTTTATTTTTGTACGTGTTAATGAATCATTTCCAGTAATTACATGTGGATTTAGCTCAAACAACATGAGAGCGGGTTGAAGCCGTCCATTTTCACATTTCCATCCCACGTCCACTGTACCATATAACATATAATCTGAAGATAACACTTGCGATGGGAACAGCTCTGGGGGTTTAGAGAGGAGCGAACCTTGTCAACAAAACAGATACTTTAAATTTTACGCTCTTTACGCCGAAAGCTGGCGAAACATTGGAAACCAGTAAGCCTAACTTTTATGATAAAATTCACGCAAACTACAGATGTTTTCTCCATTATCCCCCGAAATGAAAACATTAAGCGGACTGTAGATTGTAGGAAAAAAATAACAACACCAGCAATGTAAATAATTTTATCACAATAGATACTCTGTACAATTTGCACATAAAATTCTTTGCTGTGTTCACCTTGTCACTTTAGGAGAACTAAATCATTAAGTTACGAAAATTGGTGTTGGAAGGACTTTCATACGTTTATCTTGGAATGTTTACAGACAGGAAATAGTGTCATTCCCTCCCATTGCTTGAAAGTGTAGTAGAACCAGTTCAGAACCACGGAGAAGCTTATCAAATGAATCATATCGGTTTTTTGTTTGTTTGCTTTACTCGCCATTAGCTTTTAGTTGATCTAATTTAATTGGATCAGAATAGGCAGTAAAATTAGCCACGCTTTTTAAGTGATCTGATTTAGAATGGATCAAAAGAGGCTTGCTCATATAACCACATTAGATATGTCTAGTTTCCTACTGAGGTGTACGACGTGTAAAACAAGGCTATTGTCCATTTCTTTGTGACTTACTCTGGGCCTTTAACACCAACCGATGTAGTAAAATATTGTTCACATTCTTCATCAAATAAACCAATCAATTGTTTAGTCCTATGATACACAAAGGCTTAGCTTATCGGACAGGAATTTAGTTAAACCATATTTATTTTCTGAAGGAGTCGGAAAATCTTCCCAATCGTTTGAAAGAGGAATATCTCGAATTTCAATGACCCTACAAATGTCTGGGTGGTGTTGATTTGGTGGACGAGAATCTGTATTCAACAAATAACACAGAATTCACAAATACGTCTTCTAGATCAGTAGATTTACGTCTTTTTTGGTTTGTCAATTGCAATGAACAGTGCATATCTTTCAGTAACCAGGCCTAATCTTTCTTCCAGTCTGGTAGTTGTTGGAGATGCGACATGTATATTTGCGTATTTGGCGGTTATCTTAATTTTTGGTTTTTGACACCATAAACCTCAAACTCCAACTTGGTTTTCACAGATAAACAAATGCAAAACAAAGCAACAAATAATCCCAATTTAGAGCTCTAAGGACCAAAAATAACTTTACACGTGACCTGGATTCACTTTGATTTAAATGCAAACTCATAAGTATAACGTAAAGACGTGATTTGACGATTTTATAACCAATGAAATAAGCGAAACATGAGTAGTTGTAAACTTATAAAAAAAGAAAATATTCCAGTGGAATTCAATGGCTTTACATAATAAAACTAAAAGCAACTTATTTTATCGTTTAGCAAATTAAGTTAATCATCGGCTTGCGTTTCAGTAGGTTTAAGATAGGTTATGTAGTATCACTATTATAAACAGATTTTCTGAAAATCAAAATTTTCAATCTCCTTTTCCTTTCTTCCCTTTTAGGATAAGATACTTGTAAGCTGAATGGATTTTATCTTGAACAATAGTTTAATTTGTGTTTTTCTCAGTTCCTCAACATGGCAAGTATCTTCATGAAGATTTTCAACCTCATCTGCATGATGCTTTTGATTGGACACTGGAGTGGCTGTCTCCAGTTCCTCGTGCCCATGTTACAGGAATTTCCCTCCAATTCTTGGGTCGCTATCAACGAGCTCCAGGTAGATAAATAAATTAGACTTTACCGCCCTCTGTGGAGGTGTATGTTAAGTGATTGAGAAACACTCGAACATTATTTAATTAAAAACAAAATATTGTTCAGATCAACAATACACTTTAAAAAGTGAGGTGTTTCCATTAAATGTCTACAATTATAATTTTATTAACAACAGCAAATCAAATTTAAAATATGTCATTAGGGAAAAGATAATTAATTAGAGTTTATTGAATTTCAGATTAAAATACTTTTAGCGACGCTAAAAGTCATAGAAACACTAGTAATTAACGTAATTAACTCATCAATTAAACAGATTCACAACTCAAAACAAACATTATCAAATCCTTATGTTCGAGAGTAAAACGGTGTTCAAAACATCTGTTATGGAAGCTGAAATGTATTCTGTTCTATTGTCTCTTCGTGAATATGCATAGATACGTATAATTATTATTGCACACGTGTGTTTGTTAGGATCTAGAAAATGAGAAACCAGCAGGATTGGTGTATTTTGAAAGAATAATGAACTAGGATTAGCTAATAATTATCAAGCATTATTGTCAATTGTATGTAATCGTACAATAATGACAACAATGCTTAACAAGCTGAGATAAATTGTATGTAATCGTACAATAATGACAACAATGCTTAACAAGCTCAGATAAATTGTATGTAATCGTACAATAATGACAATAATGCTTAACAAGCTGAGATAGTATACGATTACATACAATTTATCTCAGCTTGTTGTTTGCAAACTGAATAACACAGTTTTTAGTGTTAACGTGTCCAAGGGTGTTTGATTCAAAACTGACCATTCTTTAGGATGTGTACTGGTTCGAACAATATTCCTGGGCGCTATTCAAAGCCATGTCACACATGCTTTGTATCGGATATGGACGGTTTCCTCCCCAGAGCTTGACGGACATGTGGCTGACCCTACTAAGTATGATTAGTGGTGCTACCTGCTATGCCCTCTTCTTAGGCCATGCGACCAATCTCATACAATCCTTAGATTCCTCTCGTCGTCAGTACAGAGAAAAGGTTAGTAGCTAAAATATAGTTCGTTGTGATGGTAAATAAACGTATCTCTAACTAGAACGGTTGTAACTATTGTAGCCACCTGTTGACAAATTAGAAAATTAAATGTCGGAAAATCTGAATAAAGGTGATGTTAAAAAAGATTATTAAAACATGGGTGATCTCAGACCTAAAGATAAACATGAAATAAAAGTCGTCAATAACATACCGGATGTTAATTAAGCTGTTTTTAAATTCTAATTAAAGTATTTGGAGACGGTTTATTCTCAGTTCGTTGGAAATGAATGTCTTTTTTTTTTAATGAATACTCGGAGAAATCACTCTAATACATCATTTGTGAAATAACTTGAATTTATTGTATTTTACTCCCATTATTTCAGTGGGTGGTGATAATTTATTCCCCTAAACTATTAATCATTGACTTTACTCAGAATCAAGCCAAATTTCTCTTGTTTATTTAGAGCAGAATTTGAAGTTGTGCGGGCGGAATACGCCAAATGGGAACACACTATCTATGGCTCTGACGTCAAAATGACGTCTGTGCTTATCGATTGATTAGAAACTATGTTTGATTTTGATATACTTTTTAAACTTAATGACCAAGCTCTGCATCGACCGTTTGTAAAAGGTCAGAAGTCTTCATTAATGGTGGATCTTCTACGATCATAGTTTACCATTTACAAATTTGCATCAATTAATAATGAATTTTTTTTTGTTTTACATTTTCGTTCTAACAACTGTGAGAATACGTTTGGCTGATATAGATAAGTAATAATAATACGTAAACGGTGATAAGTTAAATAAGTAATATTGTGTTATCAACCCTTACCCTAATTTAGATTTATATATGATTCATGTAAAAATAATAAACTTAATCTAGTGTCAACCATTACTACATCTAGTGTTTCCCAACCGGCTTGATGAGTCCTGGTATTGGGGTGATTACACGTGGAAATATGTAGAGTGTCTGTTTAAAGGCTGTTGAGCGGTTTTAGAATCAAGGTTTTTAATTGTGCACTGTAAAACGTTGATCGTTTCAGTATTTCAATATATATATACACAAGTAGCTGGAATATGAACCTTTTAATATAATTTTTCCAAATCCTCAATCGCAATTTCATATTCAAGGATATAACCCACCATCTCGAGCCCTCCCCTCCAGTGGCACAGCGGTATGTCTGCGGACTTACAACACTAGAAACCGGGTTTCGATACCCATGGTGGACAGAGCACAAATAACCCACTGTGCAGCTTTGTGCTTAACTAGAAACAAACAAAAAAAACCAACGTATTTTTTCCACCCAAACGTTTAATTTCAAAGTTTCTGAGAAGTTTGCACAAAATCAAAAAGAATTCCAGTAGTACAAATCAGTGTAAGACTAAAGAGAAGGCAGCTAGTCATCACCACCCACCGCCAACTCTTGGTATACTCTTTTACCAACGAATAGTGGGATTGACCGTCACATTATATCGCCCCCACGGCTGAGAGGGCGAGCATGTTTGGTGTGACGGGGATTCGAACCCGTGACTTTCAGATTGCGAGTCGAGCGCCCTAACCACCTGGCCATGCCGGGCCAAGAATGATTGTTAAGGAAGATATTATTTAACAAAAGTTAGTTGTTTTTAGCTGTTTAACTTTTAGATAATTTAAATTGTTATGAGTAGAGGACAAGTTACATATTGATTCCGATCTCTGCGAAACACACACGCATTCATGGATATATTTTGTTTCATTGACAGTTGAAGCAAGTCGAAGAATATATGGCATATCGTAAGTTACCACGTGATCTTCGACAACGAATCACAGACTACTTTGAGCATCGATACCAAGGGAAGTATTTTGATGAAGACGCCATCCTTGGGGAACTTTCAGAAAAGTTAAGAGAGGTAAGTTGGAAAAACAAAGACGTGTAAGAAACGTTTATTCTCTATATCTGGTTAACAATTTTTGTTTCTTAACAAGTAAAACGTGTTCGAATTCTAAATGTGCTAGAATTTTTTTTACAATTTCCAAATTTCAATGTGGTCCAAGGTCTCCCTTCCGATGGACTGTGGAAAAGTTGCATGATTAAAAGAAAATGACTTGTTTATTTATTTTAAGCACCAATGGTACACAATTGTTTATCTTTTTTTTTTTTTGCTCTGTCCTCCGCGGGTATCGAAATCCGAATTTTGGGATTATAATCGCTCAGACCTGCCGCTGAGCCACCGGATTGGGTGGGGTGGGGGGGCTACCAAAGGTAAGAGGCGGCATAGTGACTAAATCCCATTGGGGTAAAAATAATAATAAAAAAATCATTAAGTGGTCCACCGAACTGAAAAGTTTGTGAACCACTGCTCTGGAAGACAGGAACCACTTGCTTCTGCACTACAGGTTTATTTAAATTATATTTTAATGTACGATCTAATTAACTATGCTTATGCATACAGCTGTCAATGATGCCAAATGAGCTGTAAAATTTATAAGTAATTTACGTGAGAAACTATCGCTTCTAGTACGTACGTGAAGATCATCATTAGCAGAAAACTTTTAATTCACAAGTTACCTTTTAAACTTTACTTTCAACCCAGAAAAGTACATTTTTGATTGGTTGATGATTAGTATTTAATTCCTGGCGGAGAAACAGCGGATGCCTAAAAATTGATATAATTTTTCACCTAGGGTAGGGTGTGGCTTGGTACTTAGCGTGCCAGAATGTGAATTCAAGAGTTAAAGGTTCGCGTCGCGTTCCCACAAAACCGCTCTCTACACTTTGGGCCGTGTGTGCGTTATAACAGAGACAGTCAAATCCCACTATTCGAATATAGTAATCAAAAGTTGGCGGTGGATGCTTTTAACTAGCTGTCTTCCTCCCTAGTCTTCGGGATGGCTAGCGAAGATTCCCCTGATGGATCGCGCAGATTCCTCTTGTGTAGCTTAGCGCAAATGTCCTAAGTCATCAATTTCTATCGTTTATTTACTTATGTTTTTGTACTTACGAAAGCCAATAATTCGAAATTTTTTGTGCATATATTTTTTTCATGGTGCTGAAATTTAAGCGTTACGTCTGAAAGACTTCATTTTTCTATTTAATTTATTAAACTATTCGACTGTTTTGCTTCTTAAGTCGTCTGTTACGTTTTGGTGTTATTTTACTATACATACTTTAATTATACGACCTTACGTTTTGGTGTTATTTTACTATACATACTTTAATTATACGACCTTACGTTTTGGTGTTATTTTACTATACATACTTTAATTATACGAACCTTACGTTTTGGTGTTATTTTACTATACATACTTTAATTATACGACCTTACGTTTTGGTGTTATTTTACTATACATACTTTAATTATACGACCTGGGGAATAGTCTTGAGAAGTGTACTTACTACTGAGCCACAGACAGATATATACAACAAGTGTCGTCGATATTTCACTATAAAGAGACAAATACACACGATATTTCGCTATAAAGAGACAAATAAATACGATATTTCGCTATAAAGAGACAAATAAATACGATATTTCGCTATAAAGAGACAAATACATACGATATTTCGCTATAAAGAGACAAATACACACGATATTTCGCTATAAAGAGACAAATACACACGATATTTCGCTATAAAGAGACAAATACGAT